CTGAAGCCATTGCCCCTGGGTGATTAGTAGCAGGGTGTGCAGAAGTCCTCGGGCGTCAGAGGGCCAGGACTTTATGTCCAGGAGAGCTGGGGTCTCTTCAGCTGGAGGCTGATGTCAGTGTCTCTTCCCACAGGACCTCAATGACAGAAGAGTATAGGGTCCCGGACGGCATGGTGGGCTTGAGTGAGTGTGGGTCCCCGTCACGAGGGTAGGGCCAAGGGGACTGCTGGTGGGGAGCCTTGGCCTGGGTGCCCCTCACTCGGCCTTCACCTTTCTTCTTTTCTTCCCACCCAGTCATTGGCAGAGGTGGTGAGCAGATTAACAAAATCCAGCAGGACTCAGGCTGCAAAGTCCAGATCTCACCAGGTATGGCCCTCCATCTAAGGTTGCCTGAGACTGGTGCAGAGCCGGCTCCCTGGGCGGGTGCTTCCTGTACCTGTGCACAGCACTGCCCTAACAACAGGAGCCACAGTGCCTGGCGCCCTCCTCTACTTTATGTTTGTGTTGTGTTTATTCTTTATGTGGGGGGTGCACCTGCCACAGCACCGTGGAGGTCAGAGGTCAGCTCTGCTCAGCTGCTCTCAGGGTGACAGGGCCTGTGTGTCTGTGCTGCTATCTGGCTCCCTCCATTGGTGGGATCCAGAGATTGACCTCAGGTCATCAGAGTTGGCGATGAGCATCTTTGCTCCCTGACCATGTCCCTTACCTTGTGAGGTGGCCTAGGGGAATGTGGACTTAGGCAAGAAGGCTCCTCTCTCCAGGTGGCAGGCTCTGTGCCGTCACCTACAGTGTCATGGGATGCAGATTAGTGCCATAGAAAACAGAATAGCAGTCAGCCTGGCTCTGACACTGCCTGGATCTGCTCCACTCTTCCACAGGAGTGCTTTGGATTCTCCCTTCAGACTTGAGCCAGGGTCCTGGGTGTGCTAGGGAGCCCCTGAACTGATCTCTGCAATCTCCCTCTTCCCCTCACCATCCTCTTGCCTTGACCTCATGGTGCTCTGGTGATGGGGGTGTGGTGTTCTGTTAGTCTAGCTCCTGAGTTTCATCTTTCCCCACTGAGTTTTTTAAAAAGAGCCTTCTAGCCGGGTGGTGGCGGCCGCGGCGCATGCCTTTAATCCTAGCACTTGGGAGGTGGATCTCAGTGAGTTCGAGGCCAGCCTAGTCTACAAAGCAAGTTCCAGGACCGCCAGGACTGTTATAAAGAGAAACCTTGTCTCAAAAAGCAAAGCAAGCCAGGCAATGGTGGTGCTGCACGCCTTTAATCCCAGCACTTGGGAGGCAGAGGCAGGCGGATCTCTGAGTTCAAGGCCAGCCTGGGCTACAGAAAGGCACCAAAACTACACAGAGAAACCCTGTCTCGAAAAACAAAAAAAAAAAACAACAAAAAAAAAAAAAGCAGCCTTCTAGGTGTCTCCTGGCAAGGAGTGAAATGATTTGTCAGAGAGGGTTGCAGCTGTCCTGGAAGTGTGCTGTCCCCACAGAAGCCCTCTGGGCACTGAACCTTTCTTCTTCTCTGCAGATAGTGGTGGCCTCCCTGAACGCAGTGTGTCCCTGACTGGAGCCCCTGAGTCTGTCCAGTAAGTTCCCAGCTGGGTCTCCTGTGGGAGTCAGTGGCACTCGTGTGTCCCTCCTACCTGACGTGTCCCAAGAGCTGGTGGATGAGTTGGCACCCCTCTTGATCCTGAACAGCCCCAGGTCCTTGGCACCCCCAGGATAGCTCCCCTGAGTTGAGTGTGCGCCATATGCACACTGAGTGGTCACCCTCTTCTCTCCTCAGGAAGGCGAAGATGATGCTAGATGACATTGTATCGAGAGGCCGTGGAGGACCCCCAGGACAGTTCCATGATAATGCCAATGGGGGTCAGAATGGCACAGTGCAAGAGATCATGATCCCTGCTGGCAAGGCTGGCCTGGTCATTGGCAAGGGTGGGGAGACCATCAAACAGCTGCAGGTGCGGGGCGGCACAGGCCAGAGCACTAGTCCCCACAGTCCCCAGCGGGCCTCTGCCAGAGCCCACTTCTGACAGGCATTGACCATTGCAGGAGCGTGCCGGGGTGAAGATGATTTTAATTCAGGATGGCTCCCAGAATACAAACGTGGACAAGCCACTGCGAATCATCGGGGACCCGTACAAAGTGCAGGTGAGTGCCCAGGCAGCGTGGTCTCCAGAAGGCTCCACTGTCAGGCCTGCCCTGGGGTCTTGCCTGACTGCTGCCAGCAGCAGCCTCTCCTTAGCCCTTCAGCCTCTTTTCCTGGGGTGAACAGCTCTCTAAGGAATGTGGGGGATCCCCACAGGTGCCAGGAGGTGGGTGCTGGGGCAGTACACTTGTGCTCACTGTCCAGTGTGGTGTGTTTACAGCAAGCCTGTGAGATGGTGATGGACATCCTCCGAGAACGTGACCAGGGTGGCTTTGGGGACCGCAATGAGTACGGATCTCGAGTTGGTGGAGGCATTGATGTGAGTGCAAGCCCTCCAGACAGATGGGCAGCAGGAACAGGGTAGAACTAGGGGCACACCAGGTGACCCTGTGCCTCCTGGCTTCCTAGGTACCTGTACCCCGGCATTCAGTTGGTGTAGTCATTGGCCGGAGTGGAGAGATGATCAAGAAGATCCAGAATGACGCCGGAGTTCGCATCCAGTTCAAGCAAGGTCAGGGGCGGGTGCCACTTTGGCCCAGGCACTGCCGTTGCCCCCACCTCTGGCAGGCCCTCAGAGCCTGCAGAAAGCTGATAGCCAGTTCCTGTCAGTTGCTTTTTAGAAACCATTGTCTCCCCAAGCTTAGCTAGTTCTGTGGACCCCAAAGGTGGGAGGACACTCACGCTGCCACTCTGAGGGGCTGGGGGCATGTTCTGGGAAACAAGCTGCCTGTTTGCCCGCCCACATGTCAGCAGCAAGTCAGGGGACCTGGTCTCCAACTGAGGCACAGTCCGGGAGCTTGGCTTTGCTTTAAGTAACTGTTTCTTGGTGTGGATGTCAGATGACGGGACAGGCCCCGAGAAGATTGCTCACATCATGGGGCCCCCAGATCGGTGTGAGCATGCAGCCCGGATCATCAATGACCTCCTCCAGAGTCTTCGGAGTGGGCCCCCAGGTCCTCCAGGGGCACCTGGCATGCCCCCTGGGGGTAGGGGCCGGGGCCGAGGCCAAGGCAACTGGGGCCCTCCTGGAGGGGAGATGACCTTCTCCATTCCTACCCACAAGTGTGGGTTGGTCATTGGCCGAGGTGAGTCCCCTCACTCTGCCCTTCCCCTGCCTGGTCTTGCGCTTGCCAGCCCTTCACTAGCTGTGATCCCACAGGTGGTGAGAACGTGAAGGCCATCAACCAGCAGACAGGCGCCTTTGTGGAGATATCTCGGCAGCTGCCACCCAATGGGGACCCCAACTTCAAGTTGTTCGTCATCCGGGGCTCACCCCAGCAGATTGACCATGCAAAGCAGCTCATTGAAGAGAAGATAGAGGTGAGTCAGTTCCCTGGGGTGCTGGTGAAGGTGCCCCTCCCCCTTGGTCAGCTCACTGCAGCTGCCACTTTTTCCCTCAGGGTCCCCTCTGCCCAGTTGGACCGGGCCCTGGAGGACCAGGCCCTGCTGGACCTATGGGGCCTTTCAACCCTGGACCCTTCAACCAGGGGCCCCCGGGAGCACCCCCACAGTGAGTATTCCTGGCTTGCTGGTCTGTCTCAGCCCCGGCCCTAAGCACAGGAGGCGCTGTGTTGAGTCTGTGGGTCTCGGTCCTGTGTCAGCCCAGCCCTAGGTGGTGCTAGGGCTTCCATTCCCACGCTCCTGAGCAGCGCTCCTGACTCCCTCTCCTCTCCTGCAGTGCCGGTGGCCCCCCTCCTCACCAGTACCCGCCTCAGGGCTGGGGCAATACCTACCCCCAGTGGCAACCGCCTGCCCCCCACGACCCAAGTAAGTGTCGGCACTGCATAGGCAGTTGGGGGGTGACCCCAGGCCAACTGCTGTGCCCTCCCTCAACCGACATGTCTTCCTGTAGACAAAGCTGCCGCAGCGGCTGCGGACCCCAATGCTGCCTGGGCCGCCTACTACTCCCACTACTACCAGCAACCCCCAGGTCCTGTGCCAGGCCCTGCCCCTGCCCCCGCAGCCCCACCTGCGCAGGGGGAGCCCCCCCAGCCTCCACCCACTGGCCAGTCGGACTACACCAAGGCCTGGGAAGAGTATTACAAGAAAATTGGTAAGTTCAGTGCCCGGGAGCAGTGGGGTGTCCACACGGGATCAGCTGCCCTAACACCCGGTTCCTCAGGCCAGCAGCCCCAGCAGCCCGGAGCACCCCCCCAGCAGGACTACACCAAGGCCTGGGAGGAGTACTACAAGAAGCAAGGTAAGCTGCTGGGGCCGGGAGGGGGGCTTGCTGGCGGGAGTGGCCGCTTGTGCAGCAGCTCACTGTCCTCTGCCCACAGCGCAAGTGGCCACTGGTGGGGGCCCTGGAGCACCCCCTGGCTCTCAGCCCGACTACAGTGCCGCCTGGGCAGAGTATTACAGACAGCAGGCCGCTTACTACGGACAGACCCCAGGCCCTGGTGGCCCGCAGCCACCTCCCACCCAGCAGGGACAGCAGCAGGCAAGTGGGAACTGCCACCCTCCTCCTCCTCCTTTCTCCTTCCAACCCCCGGCCACCGTCCATCCTGCCTTAGTGGGTAGCGCCGGAAACCCTTTCCCCTGCGGGGTGTGCCCTTGATGCCAGCCTCGGGCGTGTGGCCAGAGTCTCCCGGAGCCCCACAGCCCCGCCGCTGGGAAGCGCCCGCTGGGTGCAGAGGCTCACGGAAGAGGCTCCTCCGGCAGCTGCTGTTGGTGCAACGTTGTCGGGTGCTGGGGGCACCGGCCGAAAAGGTGGAACTCTGAACTGCTGGGGTGTCCCGGGTGGGGGCAGGAAGTGGGGACTGCGCTGAGCGCCAGGCCGGTTGCTGAACCCGCTCGCTCAAAATCTGGCCACTTGGGAAGAAAATGTCTATTTTTTTCCCCCTTCTCAGCATCACTATTTTGGGTTTTGTTCTTTTTTATTCTTTTATTTTTTTAAAACCACCATCTTTATCCCCCATGTCCAAGTAACTGCGTGTTGCAGGCGGCCCTGGCTCTGCTGGGATGGAGGGGAGCCCACTGAGGGGACTGGGCCCTCCCTGCCCGGCGAGGCCACCTCTTGTGCACTTGCCTCTGTGTCCTGGTCTTGTCTGTGAAGTGGGCATGACGATCGTTGCCACCTTCCAACCTACCTCACAGGGGTGTTGTGGGGACACCGTGATCTGAATGTTGTGACGCCGCCGCCGAGCCGCCCGCCGCCTCCTCCCTCCCTGCCTCCCCCCCCCCGGCACTTCTTCCTGTGCGCCCCTTCCATGCCTCTGGCTTCTTCTGCTGCAGACCCCCTTCTCCTCTCCCTCCTCCTCCTCCTGCTTCTCCTCCACCAAGGAGCAGTCTGACTTCAGCGGAGTCCCCAGGACAGACAGTCACAGCCCCTGCCTGGCCCGTGCAGGCTTGGGCCCGGCCTCCTGGCCCGCTGCCTGAGTGGCAGCCTCTTGCAGCCCAGCCGCCCCCTGCCATGACTGTCCCTGTCTCTCCCTCTCCGCAGGCAATTGAAGCAAATGGATATGAACTTCATCTGTGAACATATTTTCCCTCCATTTTTGTTCCATTTGGGGGCTTCTTTTATTGGTTTCTATATTTGATTGGTTTGGTGAGAGAGCAACGGCCGCCTGGGGTGGAGGGTCCCCTCATGCCGAGGTGGAGGGTCCCCTCATGCTGAGGCAGTCCCTCTCATTCTGTGTGTCTCACATCTTTTTCTTTCCAAAATCGGGATCCTTCATGTTGAGCCAGCCTTAGAAAATAGCGAGAATTTAACCTCTGCCAAAAAAACAAAAAAGTTTAAAAATTAAATCACAAAGAGCAGAACAAACCTATAAAGTGATATATATATAGAAATATATAAATCTCTATCCCCGCCTCTGAGCCCACCCTCTGAGGGAAGCGGTTCACTTCCTCCCTACTGCCCGGGGCCCTATTCTTGTTTTTAAATAAACTTTTTAAAAGGAAAGAAAGTCACTCTTGCTATCTCTTTTTTTCGTTTTTTTAGTTAGAGTTGGAACATTCCTTGGACCAGGTGTGGGTGTCGCAGGCCCCTCCTGCCCTGCCCATCTCTCTCTCTCCCCCTCTTTCCCCTTTCTCTCTCTCCCCCCTGCTCTTCCCTGGCTCCACCCTATACCCACCCCAACCCCAGGACTGGCCTGGTACGTTGTCATCTGTTAAAGATGAGATAAACAGAAAAAAATGAGAACAAAACAAAAAAAAATTGTATGGCAGTTTTTACTTTTTATCGCTCGTTTTTAACTTCACAAATAAATGGTAACAAAACCTCCCCGTGTCTTGCTGGCTGCCGTCTGTCTTTCTCCCACCCTTCAGTAGGCTTCTGAAGCAGATGACCTGTGAGATGTTGTGAACATAACCCTGGTGATGGGGTCTGGAGGTGAACAGCTTCTTGCGGGGATTTTGTCTTCGTCTTTAGGAGGCAGTTGCAGGCGCGTTTTCCTAACCTCCTTTTCAGTGCACAGGTTGTGCTTGTAGAGGAAGCAGGATGAGTGGGGCGGAGAGGATGGAGTGCTGTTCAGTCCCCTTCCTTGTGGGGAGCCTGCCCAGCTGTCTGCACTCTCTCCCTCTGGGAGCTGGGAAAGCAGGCACTGAGGAGGATCCCTGGGGCCACGTTCCCATGGATGTGGCTGCACTTGTCACTAAGGTTGCCTTGTGCAAGCATCCCATTGGGCACGGGCTTGACTTGCACACCTATGGCCCCTCCCTGCCTCCTCACTGCAGACTGTCAGTGACCGAGCAGCACTGGTCAAAACTGGATGGCTAACACTGAAGTAGAGCTAAGCCTGGGTGAGGGATGCCCAGGGCACCAGAAGTCACTTGGGATGCTTGGCATCCTGAGGCAGTGCCAGCCTGTGAAATTACCTTTTGTGATCAAAGTCAAGGCCAGGAGGGTGGCAGGTGAAAGAACTGGCCCCAAAGTCAGGTGCAGTGGCTCCTCTGACCCCAGCCAGACAAGGAGGGGCTTGCCACAGCATCAGGAGCAAAAGAACCCATTCCCCAAAGCTGCCCTCAGACCACCTGCAAACAAACCCTGGCACGCTACAAAAACGACCAGGGTCCACGTGATGCAGTGACAGCTGCCATCTCTGGGTAGGTAGTTCCCCTCTGTGTTAGCTGCCTGTCTGCCCACAAAGGGGCCCTGTTAGCACCAAGGTCTCACCTCACAGGCCTGGGTCCTGTGTGCTGTGGGCAATGGGGGAGGCCGGACATCGGCCCCTCACTGCAGACTGTCAATGACTGAGCAGCACTTGGCAAAAATGCTCTCGGGGGCTTCTTCAGCCAAGATCTAGGGGAGAGGAAGCCATGGGGTCAAGGGTGCAGCCCATGGTAAGAGCTCAGCTCCCATAACCCCTTTGAGGCAAGCCCTGATGTGAGCAGGTTTGCAGCCAGGGTGACGGCAATGGGTATGGGGGTGGAGGTGGGGGTGGAGACTCCATGGGTCCAGGGAGCAGGAGAAGGCAGTCTCCCATGCTTGTTTCCCAACCCCTTATCTGGCATAGACCCTTGGGCTGACACTGACTCCACCCCAGCACGTGCTGAGCCAGACGTGTGGGCAGCACCAGACTTCACAGCTTCTCGGTGGCAGCATTGGGCACCCCATTGTAGCTTTGGGGAACTGTGAGCGCATCCTGTGGCTCACACCTGTCAGTGCCCAGAAGACTGATGTTGATTATGTGAGTTCTAGGCCAGCCTGGGCTGCATGAGGCCTGTCAGCCTGTGCAGCCCTAAGGAAATGGAATTCCCTCATTACAAACGGGGGAAGTGGCAGATGCAGGCTGGCCCCAGGGGCCCCCTGCCAGGCACGCACATTCCGCAGAAGGTTCTTTTGCTGGTAGAAGGTCAGGACAGGCTCACACAGGGTGTAGTGTGTCTCCAGACGCTTGCGGATGGCTGGCTCCGAATCATCCGCCCGGTGCTCCACCTGTCCACGGCGCAGGACTCTCCGCACCATTGTTTCCATGGAGCAGTCAAACCCCATGACTATGTTGGGGGCCCTGCCCACCTAGGCAGTAACCAACAGGACAGGGTGAGGGTGCTTGCACAGATTGCCAAGAGACCCTGAGCCTAGAGGGAGGAGAGGGAGAGAGGCTAAGAACTGAACTTCAGCCCTCTGCAGACAGCACTATACACTCTTAAAAAAACGTTTTTGAGCCTAGCCTGGAGGCGCACACTTTTAATCCCAGCACATGGGAGGCAGAGGCACATGAATCTCTGAGTTGGAGGACAGCCTGATACACAGAGCGAGTTCCAGGACAACCAGGGCTACACAAGGAAACCCAGTCTTGGGGGGGAAAAAAAGAAAAAACAACAAACACCACCCCCCCTTTTTTTTTTGAGACAGGAACCTTCCTGCCTCTGCCTCCCCAGGGCTGGGGTTGAAGGTGAAGGCCACCATGCTTGGCTCAATACACTCCTGACTGCTGAGCTGAGTCATCTCTGTAGCCTGCAACCTTGTTTTATTTATTTATTTTTTGAGTGTCTCTCACTGGCCTAAAACTTTGCAAGTAGGCTAGGCTGGCTGGCCAGTGAGCCCTGTCTGTTCTATTCAAGAGCCGAGATAAGCATATATACCACACCCAGGTTGGTTGGGTTTTTTTTTAAGATTTTGTTGTGTTCTGCTTGCATGTACACTTGCACTCCAGAAGAGGGCGCCAGATCTCATCACAGATGGTTGTGAGCCACCATGTGGTTGCTGGGAACTGAACTCGGGACCTCTGGAAGAATAGACCGTGCTCTTAACCTCTGAGCTGTCTCTCATCTTCTCAGCCGTTTGGTTTTTTGTGTTTGTTTTGTTTTGTTCCTTTTCTTTTGGACAGGGTCTCATGAAGCTCAAGCTTCCCTTGAACTCCCTCTGTACCCTAGGGTGACCCTGAACCCCATTCATCCTCTCCACTTCCCCAGTTCAGTGCTGGGATGACAGGTGTGCACCCCAGGCCTGCTTTCTTGCTTCCCACGGGGACAGGGACACCACCAAGGTGACTTATCTTCTACACATCCTTGAGCTGGCACTAATGAAATGTCTTTTTTTTTTTTTTTTCAAGACAGGGTTTCTCTGTGTAGTCCTAACTGTCCTGGGACTCGCTTTGTAGACCAGGCTGGCCTCAAACTCACAGAGATCCACTTGCCTCTGCTTCCTAAGTGCTGGAATTAAAGGTGTGTGCCACCACTGCCCGGCCAGGGGGTTCATTTTTTTTTTCCGGGGGGGGGGCAGAAATATACTGCATAATGCTCTATTAACTTTTTTGTTTGTTTGTTTGTTTTGCTTTTTGTTTTTTTTGGGGGGGGGGGGATTTATTTGTTTTATTTCTTTTTTGTTTTGTTTTATTTCTTTTTTTAAACATAAAAACAGGTTATAATTCAAAAGTCCAGGGTTATTTTAAACAGTAAAATATTTTCTCTGTAGAAAATAGTAAAAATGATAACATTTCCCAATAAGCCCTTTTAAGCCCAATGATAGCTGAACTATACATATAAATATTGATTAGATTCCAGGATACAGAAGAGACCTATCTTCATCTGTTCAGAGAGCTATGTTTTACTTAAGTTGTATAAGTGAGATTCCTATTTATCTTCCCCTTCACTGTTTGATTTATGGCAGGCATTTTTCTATAGGCTAATCCATAATCTAAAAAGATTCTAGCCTCCCCTCCTGAAAGTATGGCCAGCATTTTCTATTATCAGCTTGATACAGTACAAATTCTTATCCTAATAGTGAAATGTTTCACTAAAGCTTGCCCAGTAGTTGGGCAAAACCAAAACTTCCTTTCTTTTTTTTTTGGGGGGGGGTGCTTTCGAGACAGGGTTTCTCTGTGTAGCTTTGCGCCTTTCCTGCAACTCAACTCACTTGGTAGCCCAGGTTGGCCTCGAACTCACAGAGATCTGCCCGGCTCTGTCTCCCGAGGGCTGGGATTAAAGGCGTGCGCCACCACCGCCGGCCAGAGGTTTCATTTCTACATAGGCCCTGGGGATGGCGCCCAGGGCTTCGAATATCGGAAGCCAGTGCTCTGCCCTCCAAGCCCAGCTCCTCCCAACCAAAGGCTTGATTTGCAGTGGTGGGCACTGCTGTGCAGAGTGTGTAAGACAAATATGGAAAAGGGTGAGGTTCTCTCTGCCCCGCCCCTCCACTGGCCCCTCCCTAGGCAATGAAGTCACCTGCTGCCCAGACTTCTGACAGTCATGGCACCTGCATGTATGGTTCTGGTAATTCATCCTTTTTCTTCCTTCCTTCCTTCCTTCCTTCCTTCCTTCCTTCCTTCCTTCCTTCCTTCCTTCCTTCCTTCCTTCCTTCCTTTTATTGTTATTGGAAGGAGGGGGAGGCATGTGTGGGAGTCAGATGGCAACATGGTGAAGTTTGTTTTCCACCTTTATGTGGATTCCAGGGAGAGAACTTGGATTGTCAGGCTTGGTGACAAGCACTTCACCTGCTGAGACATCTCCCTCTTCATCGTTTTTTAAAACATTTGTTTAAACCTATGTGTATGTGTGTGTGCTGTGTATGAGTGCTGGAACCCACAGAGGCCAGAGGCGTGAGGTGCCCCTGGAGCTGGAGCTGCAGGCAGTTGAGAGCCACCTGAAGTGGGTGCTGGGAATTGAGCTCAGGTCCTCTAAAAGATCATTGAGTACTCTTAACTGCTGAGCCATTTTTCCAGCCAAAATCTCTACTTCCTCCCTCTTCTTTCTCTCTTACTTTGAGACAGGGAGTCTTCTCCGTGTAGCCCTGGATGTCCTAGAACTTTGTAGACTGAGCTAGCCTCAAACTCAAAAGAGATCCACCTGCCTCTGCCTCCGAGTGATAGGATTAAAGGCATTGCCACCACTTGGCAAGAAATCTATGCTTAAGGCACATTTCCCAGTTCTCACGGGGG